GTCCTTTGGGATATTACAACCCACAGAGGGGAATATTCATAGTACAAAATGAAAAGTTGGGTGGGAGAAGACTTACCATGAGATATCTCAAGTCAAGAGGAAGGGAAGAAAAGTGAACCTTGTAAGGGAGGAGGGGGCAATGTTTCAGGGCATGGGCCAAGGTCCAGACACCTGAGAAAGCCTGATGTAATTAGTCATGCTAAACAACCCATGTCCCTAAAAGGTGGGATGCTGAGACCACGAGAGAGAAGGGTGGTCAGCTCCTTAAGAACCGTGTTTGCCAAATGAGAGAAGTTAAACTTTGACTTATAAGAAGAGGGGAGCTACCAAAATGTTATAAGCAGAATACAGGATGAAATTTGCCACTGGGACCAAAAGACACAGGACTAGAGGCAGAGAAACCATCTGGGAGGCTGCTGCTGCAGTCAGAATGACAATGATGTTGGTCTCTGTAGGAGCAGTGGGCAGAGAGAGGAGAAAATACAATAGAAAGATTTTAGAAAGAAGAATCAACAGGACTTGGTGATTGAGAGTATACTGGCTGGGAGAGCCCTTGACAGTGACAACTAGCTAATGCTTCCTGACTGCTCACTACGTACCATCCATATGCAAATACAGTACTAATGCAATGACCCCATTTTATAAATAAGGAAACTGAGACACAGGAGGTGAATCCCTTTACCCAAGGTATTATGATTAGTATGTTCCAGAGAGGACTCAGAGAGGGCTCCCAGAATTCTGGCCTAGGTGCCTAGAGAGAGCACAATGGCCCCTGCCAACCTCTCCAGGTTGTCATTCTCTACCAACATGTGCTCCTGGTACCTGCCTTTATGCCCCCTACCATCTCTCCCCTTTATTTTTGTTCACACTATTTTCCCTCCTGGGATGCCCTCCTTCTCCCAATTAGCCTCTTAACATTGTCTCCTCCAGGGAACTGTTCCTGACCTATCCCTCACTCCTCCCAGTGCCCACCATCCCCCAGCAATGCATTATAATTCTCAGTTTAGAAGTCTGTCTCCTCCAGCTGATCCCACCATCTGTGAGAGAAAGAATGAAATCTCACTCATCCAGGCCGTGCAAGGTCCAGGCTAGAGCCTGGAACATAGTTTGAGTTCAGCGGCTGAAGAGCTGGAGTTATTCTCTGGGAAACACGTAAGGAGGGGGAAATTCTGTGTTGGATACACTGAGCTAAACTGAGATGCTAGAGAGACATATATAGAGAAGGTTAGCCCACAACTAGGTATACAAGCTAACACACACAAAAAAGTTCTGAGTCGGTGATTTGGCGATTTCCATTGGGAAATCACCTGAATAAAGACAAAGTCAGGGGAAGAGAAATTGTGTCCTATGCTCTCATCACTTCTCTGCTTCATTTCATACTCAAGCTGTATGATTAGTCTTGGCTCTTACTATACCCTTCTCCCATACCTTCTTCTAATCACAAATGCTGAACTTCTGGTCACCCGTGGTCTTTAAACTTCACTCAAGCCACGCCTTCTGTCTGGAATTACCCACACACACATTTGTCATTTTCTTCCTCATCCTAACTACCCTTAGCCCAAGGCTCCAGAGCCAAACTCTCTAAATCTATATATGGGCTCCCTATTTATTATGCGAGGTTAAGTAAGTTCCTTGACCTATCCATACCTCAGTTTCTTCAAATGGATACCAGGGTAACACTGGACCAATTTCTTAAAGGTTTTTGTGAAATTTCACCAAGGCCATTCATATAGAGTACCATTATTAATTATTTATGTCCCAGCATGCCCCACACTTCCACTTTAAAATGCAGAAAACTTTGTCACCCTAATTTAAAGGTCTCCCAACAAGAGACTAGCTCTGCATTTAGGGTCATTGTCCAGCATTTGGTAGGCGTCTAATTAATGTCCTCCAAATAGTTGAGAGTGAGATTATAAAGGCAAGGACAGAACCCAGGAAAACACCAACATAAACAGAGGGACTCCACAAAGAAGCAACTTAAGAGGTAGGAGGAAAATCAGGAGAGAATAGTTATAAGAACAATACTGGCTCTGATCACATTTCCTTCTGATCTTCTACTTGCTGTCTCTGCTCAAGCCACACTGACCTTCTAGCTAGCTCTGAACATGACAATCTCATTCCTACCCCAGGGCCTTTGCTCTTACTGTTCCCTTTGCCAGGAAAGGTCTTTCCCTACATAATGGAATGATTCATTCCATTCCTTCATTTCAAATTCTGTTTCTGTCCCTTCTGCTCAAATACCTCCTCAGAGGCACTTTCCCTAAATAGACCCACTATGCTCTGTAAGCTCCTCAAGCCTCATATTAAGCGTCTTCAGATCCAAAGCTGACAGGTCCAACCACAAGTCATTTTCTTGTTCAGACTAGAACACAGCCCCTCTGCCTTCTTTTGGATGGCCAAGAACAAATCAAGTCCCAGTCATTTCTCTCTAAAGGAGACTTGTCACCCATCCTTCATCTCATGCACATGGTTATATAATAAGCTAAAAGTGGTTAAGAACCCAAACCATTTAAAGGACAAGGAAAGAAAAATCAGCAGTGAGTACAAAAGGTTGAGGCATTAAAAATCCAGAATTTTTAAAACTGCATCATCCACTGAACATGTATTTGTTAGAGTGCATATTACAGCTACTGACTACCTGAATTTCATTTCACATTTCTAGAAGATATGAGTCTAGATGGTTGTCTGAAAGTAAAAATTCATGCTAAAATGTGAAAGAACAAGTTCCAATATAGGATCAAAAATGCATATTTAGATGGGAAGCTAATGAGGTTTACTGGAGGCTGCTGCTAATGAAATGCATACATAAGCCAAATTTCTCCCTCAGGATCCTAAAACACACGGTCTACAGTATAACTGTTCATTCTCTTGGCAGCCCCTGTGCTAAAGATAGGACTAAGGCATTTATTAAATCAGTCAAATGAATATAAAAATTGAACCCTATAAATCCCGGGTAAGAAACTTAGATCATCCCCCATCATGATAGCTAAACCCAACCCAACAGAACTGAAAGGGAACATTTTTTTAAAGCAGTTCGGTTGTCAGAGATGATTTGTAGAATGTTCTAGAGCCGGACCAAGCTCTCATCAGATAATGATCTCAACAGCATTCAGTGGATAAGGAATATGTTGACTGTGCTCAAATTTGTTTTTCCTTAACTCATTCACCAGGATGGAATCCCTGATGGACTAACTTATCTTGTCATGTCTTGGGTCACTTCGCTATGGACCAAAGAATTAATGTTTACTCTGTAGTCAAATGTATTCACCACTCTTGGGATGAGGAAGGAAGACAAGTGTGAAGAATATATTTAAAATAGTGCAAATTCTAATTGATATATTTATTTAAATCTGCTTTAGTTCCCTTTAAGGTCCTAAAGAGAAACCTGTATAAGTTGCTCCCCCCCAAAAGCCACACCTTTAATTACTAAAATACACTTGCTTTTCAAAAACCAATTTCACTCTTTCTGAATTCATTTTCTCTACCTGGGTGCCCAATTAAGCTTTTAAAGTTTCTAGAAATTTAAAGAACTGATTATTACTATCACTGACAGTATCCACAGGGCACCATGTGAAATCTAACATAATGGATCCCTCTGATAGAAAAAAAGTGTAAAAATAGATATCCGCCAATGAATATACCTAAAACACTATCAGAATGCTGGATTATCCTCAGATGGTAACCCAAGAATGACAATGTTATGTGTTAAATGTGCAGGAGGAGTAAGAACAATTCACAGCCCAGCATAAGATGCATTAAGTTTAAAAGACACACACACACACACACACACACACACACACACCAGTAGTATGCAGTTTGTAATCTTCTCACAGTTCTTTATCAGTTCACAAGGATCAACTGCAAACCCTCAGGGCCACCTGAGTGATCATTTTAAACAGTTTAGATTCTCCCCCCCCCCCCCCCCCCCCCCCCCCAAAAAAGACCAACCGCTTTAACCTTGGGAAAATGGCAGGTGACATCACTGGCCTGGAGATGAAGTCTCCACACCAAAAAGCAGCAAATTCCCTCCCACTAACTCCAGGCTTGGAGAGGTCCCCGCAAAAACATTCTCCAACAATTCTCACTACCTTCACGTTTAAAACGCCAAAACTAGATGTTATCACAGCAACTGATCGCAAGCCCGGGAAGGGGGTGGGGGAGGTCTACTTGAGTTTCAACTTCCTATAACACAATCTCAGCAGCATCTCTGACAAAGGTCTACACAGAATTGCTTTTTTCACACAAGCAGTAATGTTGATAAAAAGCCTTGTGGGCTTCCCCAGTGCGCTGGGATTCCTAGCTGAGCTGGAAACCTTCATACTGTGATTTTGCTTTCCTTAGAATTCTGCAATGCCTTTAAAGAAATAATAAAAATATATATTTCTTTAGCCAAAATGGGGGGGGGGGGGAGAGGATAATGCCTTCCATTTCCATGGAACTTTTATTTCCAAGCTGATTTTTTTTTTTTTTTGCATTAAAAACGTATTTTGGTACATATTATTTTAACCCCATAGCATCTGTCAGAGAGATGTTCTCATCTCTAATTTACAGATGGAGAAATACAAAAACAAAAACAAAAAAAGTTTAAATAACTTGCCCAAGGTCAGTCAGGGACAGAATAAGCCCTGACTGAACGAAGACCTCCTAATTCCAAGCCTCGCACCGCTAGAAACGAACTTAACACCCTTATCCCTTCCCTTCCGTGGCCTGAAGCGAGTGGAATTTTTCTGGAGACCCAAAGCTCCCAGACACCTACATTTCAGGCGTTTTACTCCATCAACTCCTTCTGCTAATATCCCCTTCCCAGGTTTCAGGCAACTCCAACCCTACAAAGCCTCGCCACCCCGCCCCCCAGTCCCACGCCCCCGTGCGCTGCACCCCCTTCCCTTCCGTCCTGACCCTCCCGGGAGCCGAACCCCGAAGTTCCCCGGGGTGCTCGGACGGCTTCCCGGCCCCGCCCGCTCCAGCCTCCCCGAGAGCCAGCGACCTCCCGCCGTTACCGTATGCCGTGAGGGAGGCCATCCTGGCTCGAGTCCTGCCCAGGCTGGCCAGGGCGTCGGCCAGAGCGGCCGCCTGCACGCCGCGCCCCTGGACGGTCGGCCCCTGGCCCCGCGAGTGCATGCGCTTGGCTCCCGCGGCGCCCGGCCGCCCCGCTCCTGAGCATGCCCAGTCAGCCCGCCGCGGTCGCCCCGGAGAGGTGCCCGCGACTCGCAGGTGCTCCCGGCCTGGTCTCAGCTGCAAGGGCGTGGGGAGTGAGGACGCAGACGGTCAGCCGCGCTTCGGTCCCCGCGCTTCCAGTCCCCGCGGGGATTGAACCTGCAGCGCAGGACTGGCGACCAGGAGAGAGGAGGAGCGAAGCAAGCCGTGGGAGGTGCTGGGCGCGCGGCGGATGCGGCCCCTACGGGCAGACGTCGGGCCGGACCCGACTGGGTCCACTCCAAGCAGGGTGCCCCTCCAGGTGGGGGCGGTAACGGCAAACGTGGGGTCGGGGAGTCCGGAGCGCGCCACAGCCTCTCGGACCTCGAGCCTTCAGCTCTTTCCCTAGGGAAGCAGGGGGTGGCACTGGCCGCCTATAACTCTCGGGCCCAATTACCAGCCTAGAGGACAGTCTCAGGAAGGGTTCGCCTCGGAGGCCAAAGCCCAGGCGAGAGTGGCAAATGAGTCCTGTGGATTTTTATTAATGAACTCCTTCACCACCAAGTACAGACTTCTGACCCCAACAGCCCAGACCTGTCGCAGCTCACCATCCTGTCACTTTCATTGGTGCATTTGTCTCCCCCAAGAGGCTCTGATTAGTGTTCGATTCCACAGTGACTACCCGTGCTTCAACCAAAGCAAAAACGCAGTATTTGTTAAATGACTGAATGCTCTAGCCCTGCCCAGCTCTCCCTACCTGGAAGCCCACCCATCCTACTGCGTGAGTGGGTTCTCCTTTTGGAATCAGCTCAGCGGCAAGCGGGTGGAGAAAGAGTGGGAAGCCCTGGGATCCCGGGTAAGTGGGGAGGGAAGAACAGGAAAAAAAGGGAAAGCCGCCCAATGACCCAGAAGCACATAGAGCTTTGCCATTCCCAAGAACAAACTGGTAAGAAGTTGGGGAGAACAGGAGAAAGGGAGAGGTCAAGAGGAGGTCAAGAGGACTGGAGTTTCGCTAGTCCCAAGAGTGAATTCACAAGTACATGAGTGCCCCCCACCCCCGCGGGGCGGGAGGGCTTTCCACTGGCCTGGTCACCAAGGGAATCATGGCCTTGAAATCCACCAGTGTCCAACAAATTGAATGGCGATGACGTCAAGGCTATCAACTGTGTTTGGGGTTGTACCAATTCGGATGGAGGCACAGAGAGCGCAGAGAAATCTATGGAACGCAAGACTGGGCGTTTCTTTAGGAAGCTTCCCGCACACTCCTGCTTTGGTGGCTGAAGCCACTGGGCGTCTTTGGTCTAACCCTATCATCAGATTTTTGCTCTGACGACCCTCATGCCCCTCCCCCTCTCCTGCTCTTCTGGGAGGGCAGCGAGGCGACAGCAGGTGACCTGTGGTGGTGGAGGCTCAGGGATGAAATATCAGTGCCCACACTTCCTTCGCCTTTGTAATAAGTGGAGCTACATCGGGGAAAGGGGCGCCCTGGGGAGTGAGAGCCCATAGATCTGACAGTTTATTCTGGCTAGGTCAAACAACCACCAGCGTGTGAGGCTTAGTCGAGACACTCCCTCTGAACCTTCATTTTCCCGCCTTCATTTTCCCCATCCCTAAAGTGAGGGTAGCCGTTGTTACTGCCATGCCCACCTCACAGGAGGACAGCTGGGGTTAGGTGGAATGCAGGTGGTTTCATCCCTGAGGCCTCTGAGGCACTGTCTTGGACACTGCTCCTGCCTTGAACTTGCCTCCTGAGAGCTGCCATATGCCTCTCCCCTTAGTTCTCTTCAACCTCTCACTCACCTGCCCCCACACTGAATTGCTGTCCCCAGGCCTAGAGCATGTGGAAACCTGCCTCAGATCCTCTATGAGGATACCTGTGTAGCCGGAAGGTGGGCTTCAGAGCAGGTCTGCCTCCCCCAGTACACCCCAAGGACCTCCCCCAGTGCATCCTCCAGGACCTCAGCAGCCTCCCTATCCCCCAACCTCCAGCTCCTTAGCACCTGAGGCTGGGAGCTGGCGTCAGCCTGTCCCAACTCTGGTCCTTCTCTGTGTCACTGCTGCGACCCAAGTCCATTTTCAAGTTGTCTTCTGACTTCCAGCTTTCCTCTCCTTTTACCTCCACATTTTAGCTCAGGTAGGGTCATGAAGAAGGACAATCAAAATGAGTTACAAATTGCACTTTAATTCTTCTTGGCAGCTCTTTCTAATTAGCAAGAACTAAAATGTAGTGTCTAATTAATTAACCTCTCTTAAGGCTACCTGAACCTCTGCCCAAAACAATACCACTCCAAGTCCTTGAGATAGTCAGTGTCCTCAATAAAATTAAGATTGAAAATACCAGGCCTCTTGGTTGATGAATTGATGGACAAATACATCTTAGATTTGTTAAGAATCCTGTGCTGTCTGGTGACATTGAGATCTTTAAGCAGCCTCCTGCCTCCCGGTCTGGAGCAGGAGGGGGTGGTCCCCCTATCTCACATTCTTGAGGGTAACAAATATCAACCAAGAATTATGATACTGTCGTGGAGCATAGGCTATGAAAGAAACCTGGTGACCAGGAGCAAGTGGTTCTTTCTGTCTTTGCAGGATTCACAGATGACTTCACCAAGGAAATGAAATTTAAAAGATGAGGTTCAGAATTTGTGTTGTCGCCAGGAAAATTTCTTAAAGACAGGCTTGTCATTCAAATTTTCTTATGTTTTATTCATCTGCCATGGTTTCGGGAGTAAAATATGAACTGCCACAACCTTGATGAAAGCTGTGTTCTAAATCTTTGCAGGAAAAGCTTTTTTTCAGAGAGTAGACTGAGGAAAACTAGTTCTCCTCTTCTCAGCATGCTCTGAGCTAGAACCATTCGATTTACTATTAACTGCCTGAATGTGATTATATTGCATTTGACAGTGGAAGAGACTCTCTGTGATTAACATTTGTAATAATATTTTAATTCTGGATTTTAGTAACTACTCTGTAAATACTCATTCTTTAAACTACGAAGCGTAATTTAGTTTTCATTTGCCCATGATCAACTTGACTTCGAATTTGGTTCATTATCAAAATTTAACAAATTGGGGGCGCCTGGGTGGCTCAGTGGGTTGAGCCGCTGCCTTCGGCTCAGGTCATGATCTCAGGGTCCTGGAATCGAGCCCCGCATCGGGCTCTCTGCTCCGCGGGGAGCCTGCTTCCTCCTCTCTCTCTGCCTGCCTCTCTGCCTGCTTGTGATCTCTCTCTGTCAAATAAATAAATAAAATCTTTAAAAAAAAAATTTAACAAATTGGACATTTTAAAATACCACCGCTAATGATTGATCAAAGCTTTATGTCCCTACCTCCTCTGTATTCCTGTAACACTTAATATACTTGTATATCACTTGTTATAGCAACAATGGAGAATTATAACTACATATTAGATCATTTTGCTATAACAATCTGACCCCCTTGGATCCATGCTTTAATTTGTTATACCTGAAAAATATATACAGATAAAATGAAATAACAATCTTGTTTTTCAAAATTCCAAAATTAAATAAATTTAAATTATATAAAGCATTTAATCCTTTATGTTTAAATCTGGGGCTTTCAAATGGAAATGTAAAATATCCAAACTATTCTTCTGAAACAAAACAAAAACAAAAACCCACTAACATAAGATGTCAAAGAAACAGATACATCAAGTTCATGTTTTAGGACTTTAAATCAATGTTGATAACACAGTCTATAAAATGTGGCAAATCTGTAACAATTAATGGTACAATTATTTATATACAATTAATTATATATGTGTATACATATTCATTTTAATATATATTAAGTACATATGTAAAGTCCTATATATTTATATATAATTATATATATAGTCTTAACAAATATTAAGACTAACAAAATAGATACTATTGACCATTTGACAGTTAAGGAAACTGAGTCCCAGAGTAACTAATTAACTGTTAGTAAGAATGGATCCAAGATTTGAAACCAGATTCCAGAGCTCATGATAGCCTGTTCCCAAATGTTGTTGAATATATATAAAGCATCTGATTGTCTTGTTTTCTAAATCTTCTATTTAAAATACCATTTTATTTATAGTTTTTCCCTTAAGAAAAAATAGGTAAGCTGCACTGATAGGTAGAAGGTGTGATGGTCTAGAAGAGGCTACATGAGGTTTTCCTAAGTACATCAGGGCCAGCCAGTTGAATAACCCTGCAGAAGTAAACATGAACAGTGAGTTCTTCTTCTTTTTTTTTTTTTAATTTATTTGACAGACAGAGATCACAAGTAGGCAGAGAAGTAGACAGAGGGCGAGGGGAAGCAGGCTTCCCCCTGAGCAGGCTTTCCCTGCAGAGCAGAGAGCCCTGATGCAGGGCTTGATCCCAGGACATGAGATCATGACCTGAGCCAAAGGCAGGGGCTTAACCCACTCAGCTACCCAGGCACCCCTGAACAGTGAGCTCTTATCTTGAAGAAGAGAATAGATTATTTGATTTCTGTCTTCCTCGTCTCCATTTCTCAGCGTCATGAAGCTCTCACTTCAATTTAAAACAGAAAAATTTTGCCAGTAATAAGTGTTTGGACTCTGCTTCAGGCATTCTGTCCTTGTGTGAATGCCTTTCATAACATATCACACTAATAGAACTTGCTTTAAGGGGACACTACCTTTTTATCAAATCCCATGCATTAATACAGAGAAAATTTAAGATAGGATCCCATCACAGTCTACGGCCATACCACCCTGAACGTGCCCGATCTCATCTGATCTCGGAATCTAAGCAGGGTCTGGCCTGGTTAGTACTTGGATGGGAAGATCCCATCACATTTACCTTAAATATACTCTATGTTGTTAAATAAATGACAAAATTTTTCTGAAAACAGGCACATTTATCTCATCCTAAAATTCTGAGTGTTGTAATAGCTGTACAGATAGATGAAAATGTTTTATATTCA